CCTCCAGCAGTTTCCTAATGTTATGTATGACACTTGGTCAACTATCTGTTGACATTTTTGACAAGTTTAGAAGGTCACTGTGGCAATTATTGACTTTCAGCTCTGGCTGATGAATTTCTGGTTTCAGGAGGTGGCAACACTGTCTGGGCATAATTTTTACTTCCAAAAGGAGCAAGGGCCCCCGGAAATGGATCCAGGGGCCAGCTTAGCTTAGCCAACATGACAGATCACTCCTTTTCACAAAAAGCAGCCAAATCTGTGGTTGCTGTAGTGTTCAGACAAGAGAGAGAAATGAAGCTAATCCAATCCACAGGTTCAGCCCTTGTGTTGAGCGTCAGTCATGGACTCTCCAGACCTGAGTCAACTTGTCTTGGATTCTTCGATTGACTCTTCAATTCCTTACAGCACGCAGTGAAACAGCCATGAAGGATTTTGCACCAGTCCCTGGTGGCTGCTCTATCTTAGAAAGCATTCGATGAGACTCACTGGCTCCCTCACCATCCAGTTCATAATGTTGTACAAAGCCCTTTAGCTCTAGATGTGATGTCCCTTGATCACCAAATCCTACGCGTGTGATTCTGAAAACTGGCCTTCTGCCACTGCCAATAAACAGGGCTAATCCTGTCCCAATCTTCTTTCAAACACAGGTTCAAAATAGCAGTTGCTTAGCCTTGGGAATGCAGATGAGACTGAACTGATTTCTCTGCTCAGACGCTCTTTGCCTGCTAGTCACCAAATGTATATCCACAATCAGCTGTGATGGCAAAATATCCCCCTCCCACCCACCCGCAGCCCTGGCTGACTGCTGGATAAGGCAGCTGTGACAAGGAGTTTAGATTAGATTAAATTAGATCAGATCCTGGGCCTTGTCAGTTTACCTAAACTATTGGGGAGGAATTTTATGTCACTTTTTGTGCCCAAATCGCAGTTACCCAGCTATGTAAGTGACATTTTTGGCTCTTACACACAGATGAGGGATTATCCAGTCCTCTCCCCAGAGCTCCTTTTGAAGCTCAGATATGGCCCCTTGCATTTAATAGTCAGCAGATAAAATAGCTGGAACACAGTAGAAAAGCTGGGAGAAATGGTCCAGGCTAAAATCCAAGGCCTACTTCCTTCCAGAACAATATCCATCTCACTGGGCACGTTTACACATGCGCTTTAATGTGCAGTAGCTCAGTTTACTGTGCATTAAAGCACCACAGAAAAAACTGCAAATATGCTAATACATAATAAAATAGGCTTTCACTGCTGAGCATTAGGGCAGCCTAATGTGCATTTATTTAGTACCTCACACTGGAGGACTAAATGTAATGCACATTAAGAAAAGCACATTAATGCACATGTAGACATGCCCACTGAGCCACAGAGTCTGTCGCATGCACTCTTCCTCCTGTTCCCACATGTCTACTTGTCTTGGCTACCCAGGGGGCCAATTTCAAAAGGAGGGCTGGGGAAGGGACTTGGTAATGCCTTACTGGTGTGTTGGTTAGAGCACTGTACTGGGAAAAGGAAATACAGATTCAAAACCCCAAGGGTGGAAGCTATCCAAACTGCTACAGCGAAGGAGCATGGTGAGGGCAAGTATAGAAGAATGGGAGGTAATGACTGCACTGCTGCCACTCCATCTTCCTAAGGTGCTAGGTAGAGTGCCAAGCACACTGTGATCCCTAAACAAGCCTCAGATGCTAAGCCTCATAGGCACTGGCACTGGTAGATCCTAGGGCTGGCAGAAAGATGTCTAATACCCTAAGGACAGTGGTTAAACAGTTGACGTTTATCATAAAACAAGCAATCCACTAAAGGAGTAGGGCTCCTCTGGCCTATTCCTTGGCTGTTTCTCCAGGCCAGGCTCTGCTAGCAATACGAAAACTTACTTGTCTCCAGGCCAGGATCCTTCTGCGGAGGATCTCACCAGGGCCCCTACATTGCCTTCTGCCCATTTCTCAGAGACTGATCCTAGATTTCCCTACAGAACAAATCCTGTGATCTGCCAGCCACATCCTCTTCATGCACAGCTCCTTGGTCCCTGTGGCAGCCTGCTCAGTACACACCTCACAGGTAGGTTCCCTTGATACACCTGGATTGCCATGCAGCTGCTATTTCCCCAAGTGTGTTTATTTTTGGGATCAGGCTCTTTCCACAGTTTCTGTCCCTTCCCCTCCTGCTAGGGGACAGGGGTTGATCTGAGTGTCCAGCCCTAAGTGTCTGAGGTCAGCGGAGAAGGGCTCAAGGGGCACGCTGATTTCCTGCTTAGCAAATTTATCACACGGATTTTGAGCACCATTGTGCAGTATCTAAACCCCTTTGGCTGTGTCCAGATGAGCAGGAGCCAGTGTGCACTGCCCAAAACCATAGCTTGGCCAACTGTAGCTGCATTCGGCTGCAGGCCAGGCTCCCAGCTGCAGGAGTGACATGGCTGCAGTGTCCCTGGCCCCCAGGACCCCAGGTAAGGCTGCTGGGGCTAGCTGCTGGTTGTTGACCCCAACCTCCCCCACCCCACCCAGGGTAATCTGCCGTGTGCCAGAGGGCACATGGCACAGGTATTCCCCAGGGACAGCTAGCAGTGGCACAAGGTGTGCTGCTGGTAGTTGTCCCTGGGGAACCAAACATCTGTGCTCATCTGGACATGGCCTTTGAATGCAAGTTTGATTCCATGTCTAACCTGCACCCGCTCATTGTGGCATGCTGTCCCCTCTCCTGGAGCCTTGATAGGGGTGGCAACCTGCAGCATGCATGCCACAAGTGGCACAGGCAACTTCTGTGTGTGACATTTGGCAGATTGGGGAGTGGACAGGTAGCACAATGGCAGATAGGTCCGAGAGCAGAAAACAGATCAGGCAGGAGAAGGGGGTTGGAGTGGCACTCAGGAAAGGCCTGGGGCTAATTTGTGGCATACCTGCCAAAAAAGTTGACCCCCACTGATGTAGGTTAATGAGTCTGAAGCTTTGGATTACAGAACTTGGTCTTTGGGCTTGGGCGGTAGGAGACTGTTTTTCCAGGTCTGGTCCCTGCTGCAGATCCACCCATGGGTAGGGTACATGGATGCACTTGCTCTCAGGCCACTGAAGCACACAGTAACCCAACCCTGGGGTTAACACTAATCGATTGTCAAGATGGAGTCAGGTCACATCTGCTTTGCCCTCTCCTTCCTCCTGATTATGATGTGAGAAATCTGCCCCAGTACATTTCAGTCAGCAAATGGGTTGTGCCTGAGAAATCGGGAGATTCGATCTAAAAAGCCTGAGCACTTTAGCCTTGTGTTAAAGGCTAGATATGGTGTAGAGGGTCATGTGGGTCTCACTAGATTGGCAGGAGCTCAGGGGGGATCTGGTCATTCAGACTATCACAGTTCCTGCTTTGACTTAGAGGACAACAAATACTGCAGTCCTAGAAAGGGGCATTTTATTTGTCCTTCCCACCAGCTCACATTCACTAGCCAGTGCAATGTATGGATGGAGCACTTCTCACCCCTCTCTCATACCGCCTGGCCCAGCTGCTCAGGCAGGAGGGGAGTGTACAGTGGCCACGTCTACATGAGCGGTGACCTGTGCAGTTGGTACTGTACAGTCGTTTACTACTTGCTTAACCAACTACTAAATGACTGCACAGTAACCAGCATTACTGCCCAGTATCATCACTGCACAGTTTTTTTTAGATGCTCCTGCGCAGTAGCTCATAACTACTGTGCAGGAGCATCACCGTCACAGTTTGTGCCTGGCAACGCTACGGCACTGTAGCATCTCGTGTAGACATGTCCACTGAGTACTAAATCCAGGCATTCAAAACTCTTGAGTCAGGCTCCCTGCAGTCATGAGACTGGCATAAAAATGATGGACTCTGTTTTTAAAAGCTGCATGCTGTTTTTCTTTTTCACTTCTCTTCTGTGTTTGGTGCACGCTACCAAAAGGGTGTGCAGGGGTTCCCACGCAAGGGGCAGCCTCAGGCGTTTGCCTCTCCTGCCATCCTGTCTCTACACACATGCAAGTCTGGCACACCTGCTTTGACTAGTGCTTTGCCCTGTGGGTAACCCAGTGATGTAAGGCAAGAGAGCAAATGTGGCCCACAGAAAACATCAAAAACTTGAATGAGCAGGTATTTAGTTTTCTCCCAGTAAAAGTAAGCAGAAATTAGTTGAGTGTTGTGTTCTATGTACAGCAGCTATAGCTTTAAGATGAACTATCTGATTTGCAACGTTAATGCTTATTATATATCCGTTACTTGCTCCAATGGAGTCCCCTGCGGTTCAGTGGTGGACTCCCTGTCCGCCACACGGGGGACCACAGTTCAGCACAAAAATCCAGCCATGGAGGCACCAAACGTCTACACCTAGTCTGGCCTTTGGGTTCTGTCTCAGTGGCCTAAAGCTGGGATAGAAGATCTGGATGGCCTCCACTCCTCCAAAAACTTTGGTGTAGATATGTGCACTGAAGGTCTGGGTGGCCTGTCATGCACACACCATGATCTGGAAGGATCAGTGGTTGCCAAACTTGCTTCAGTCCCAAGCCTGTTTTCTTCAGATTTCACTTGCTGTTCTGAACTTGATGATCTTTATAAAAAATGACAGGTTTGAGTCCTTTGGTTGCAGTAATTTAGGAGCTAGTATAAGGGCACTGACTTTCTGAGTTACCCAATAACTCCTTGGCTATTAAAATAATACTGCTCACAACCGCTGCATTTCAAGCTCTCATAATTATCCAAAGGTTTGTCTTTTAAGCTGAAATGTTCCTTATGTGACCACTGCCTTGGTTTCCCCGAGCCTCGTAACCCAGGAGCTCTTGCCCCTTTATCAGTAGCTCCCTGGTAATGTGGTGTCCTGGACTGAACTCGTGTGCCCCAACGGTTCTAGCTCATGGCAGACTTAGTTCGTTTACTGCGCCCTAATACCAGCACACATGTAGACAGTGATGTTTTACTGCAGAGCTAATTAGTCTACTCTCCAGAAAAGCGCACGTGTAGATGCACCAAGGTGACTTGGTTAAGGGTGAAGTAGTCATGGTGGTCTGGTCAGTGGGTGCCCATTCTGGGGTCGAAGAGCCAGGTGTGTGGCCAAGTGGGTGGGTAGAACAGTTAGGTTCATGACTTGGTGAGTGGGAAGTCGAGTAGGCTGGTCCCTGTGTGGCCAGGCTGATGGGTAGGGCTGTGTGGTCTGCTGGGTAATAACCAGGTCACGTGGCTCTGGAGGTATGGGTAAAAGTGCTAGATGGCACAACTTCATGGAGGAGGGAAGGTACATTGCCTGGACAGGCAGATTAATGAGTTTCAGTGGCGTGGCTGTGCTATTCAATGGTGGATGTGGGTATCAGCACGACAGCACTCGGCCAATTTCTTCATGGCTCTCTCCTTAAAGCAAATTTTCTTGCCAAGTTTGGCTGAGAGACTAGTCTCATTCTCATGGGCTTTCAGCTTGGCGTAGTAATCAGAGAACTTGTTGTAGAGAATGGAAATGGGCATCCCATTGAGAATGATGCCAAAGGAAATGCATCCAAACGCCACCATCCTGCCCAACACTGTGTCGGGCACGGTGTCTCCATAGCCCACTGTGGAGAGGCTGACCTGAAAGAGGGTTGAGAAAGGATAAACTCCCATCAATTCATGTCCTGGCAGGCTGCTCCTGGCCTGATTGCCCACTGAGCCAGATCCCTACTACCAAAAAAGTCCTTGTCTTCACTCTCACAGTCTGACCTGTCTCTCCCATTTGAAAGCTGGGTAATAACTCTCATGAGTCCCCAGACCCCACTTACACAAGCCTGGCATCACTCCACATGTCTTCCATGTGCCCAAGTTGGGGATCAGCTTGACTGTCCACCCCACTGTATCAGCGCTCATGCCCAGACAGAGTTAGCTTGTGTTCTTTCCCCTCATGGCCACAACCGCACATGCTTCTCTCCACTCCCATGACCTGTGCATTACCCTACATGCTTTCCTCAACTCCAGGGGTCCATGCATGTGTCACCCCTTCATCCTCAGGCCTGGTCATGTGATTAACAATCCTCTTCTCTTCTCCAAACTCATGGGTATGCCGTCACTGCAGATGTTGCTTCTCAGCCCTTCTATTAAAATACAGAACAATCTCATCAGGGTTTGGTGGATCTGGACCAACTAAGGGTGTGAGGTAGAACCTAGGTTTCATTTTCATTTGGATTGATAGCCTGTCCACTTTGCAGTGAGCTGCAAGCTAAACTCCTCCTATGCTGATTCGATAGGATGAGCATCAGTTCTTGAGGTGATGTGGCTGTGAAAAAACTAAATGTGATTTGAGGGTATATCAGATGAGGTATTTCCAGTAGACATAAGGAAGTATTAATACCATTTGTCAAGGCACTGGTAAGACCTCCTATGGAATACTATGTACAATTCTGGTCTGCTATAGTCAAGAAGGATGAACTCAAACTGGAACAGGCATAGAGAAGGGCTACAAGGATAATCAGGGGAACAGAAAGCCTGTCTTATGTAAGAGGAAGCCGAAGGAACTTGGTCTGTTCAGCCCAGTGAAGTAGAAGTCAGGGCCAGGAGGGGAGATGTAATTGTTCTCAGTGCCGTAGCAAGGGAAAGGAGGTGGGGAGCAGAGCGACCTCCCCCATTGCTGAAGTGAAAGGGTGCCAACAGGTGCTGCCCAGCCAGGGCAGGATACAGGACAGAGCTCTGAGTGGCTCATTTGTGGGGCACGGGGATAGGAGGAGGGTGGCTCCCGGTGCTGCATGCACTCCCAGGCAAGCATGGGGGGGGCGTGTGCCCCACCGGATCTGCGCGCAGGGTGAGGGCGAGCAGCTGCTGCAGGCTTTGCTCTGGGTGCCAAACTTCCTTGCTACCGTGCTTATTGTTCTGTATAAATACAATTTGGGAAGTGGGGTGGCGTGATGAACACCAAGAAAGGAAGTGAACTATTTAAGCTTAAGGACAATGTTGGCTCAAGAACAAATGAATATAAACTGGCCATGGACATATTTAAACTGGATATCAGAAGATTCCTAACAATCAGAGCAGTGAGGTTCTGGAACAGCCTCAAATAAGAGTAGTGAGGGCAAACAAACACATAACTATTTTTATGATGGAGCATGCTTTTACCAAGGCCCGACTAAAGAGACTAGGGAGCTGGCTTTCTGGCCACAGGCTAACAATTATGCTAGAATGGCGGTGTTGTTCTGGCCGTTAACTCTTATTAGACAGCAGGAAAGATAAAATTCCTTGAGTGGGTGCAGATGATGATGAGTGATGGCCTATCTGGCCTGGCCTGGCCAGTTCAGGATATCAGTACAGGTAAAGACAGTGCAGCCCAGCTGTCTGAAGGTCCATGCACACTATATTCCCCAGTCAATGGGTGGTGGAGCTCACACCCTTTCGTGTGAGCTCACTCCTTAAGCCAGTGCTTCCCAACCTTTTTCTCAGCATGACCCCATTTAAACATTGGAAATTTTTTGCCACCCCAAAATGATGCAGACAAGATCAATGCCCCCGCCCCAGCATGTGGCACGGCCAGAGTGGAGCCCATCAGGGTGGGGAGGAAGGATGCAGGCTTCCCACTGAAGACTTCCCACCATGCTGCCCTTCCTCCAGGGGCCTCTGCAGCCCACTGAGCAGGAGGGCAGCAAGGCAAGCCCTGGGCCCACAGTGGGCCTGCGTCCGCCCCTGCCCCATACACAAATCTAGGGGGGGGCATGCCCCTGCCATGCTTCCTTCCTCAGAAGTGTATGCAGCAGCAGGGAGCTAGCACCACTGCTGTCCCCCAGACAAGTCACCCCTGGCTCCTTCCTGCTCCCCCAGCTGGGCCCCATATTCTCACCCTGGGCTCCATGCACCACCCTGACTGGGCAGCACCCCCAGCCACAACCCTGCCCCATCCCTTCCCTCCCTCCCTCACCATGGGGTCCTCAATCTGCCCTCCGCCACCCCACTTCATCTATCTGGAGGGTGCTGCAAGATGCTACCTGGCTGCCATGGGCACATGTGTGCACACATGCACGTGGCACCCCTTCCTTATTGCCCCCCTCCCACTTCCCCCAGCCCCAAGCAGCCCCTTGTAGGCTCAAAGTCTGCCAGCCTGCACAGGGAAACCCACCATGCCTGCTTTTTTCTGTGATTTTCATCATAACCAGTTGTCACTGTTGA